AATGTTCTTATGTCTCGTGAAAAAAGCTTCGACAACATTTTATTGTTAACCGCAGAAAAAGCCATATACACTTTCACACGAAAATCGATCATAGTTCATAATAATATATCGAAAAATTTTACGATAATTAAACATTGTTGTACATAAATATAAAGATGACAATATTGCACGTTCTTTCTCTCTCTCTTTCTCTCGCTCTCTCTCTCTCTCTCCCTTTCGTGTGTGTGTGCCCCAAAACTGTACAAAAATTATTCTTGAACATCTTCCGCGCGACACTCATTGAACAACTTATATTACTCGGTGAGGAGACAAAAATGGCGTATTTTTTTTTTTTTTTGTTTTCATTTTATTTCATTATATTATTACTCTCATTATTATTTTTTTATTTGTTTTAATATCATTCATATTTATTTATTATTTAAGTTTTTTATTTTATCTTTGTTGCTTATACTTTTATTTTTTCTTTTTTCTTTCCCCCATTAGTAAAACGACGCACTAAAATTTTTGCATTTCTGAGGTGCGCATACAAGTTATCATTTTTTTTTTCTTGTTCACAGAGCTTCTTTTTTACCTTTTTCTTTTTTTTTTTTTTTTCGTATGAGATGCGATATTATTTATTTCAAATTGATAATCAAATATTATACGGCCGGAGCGGGTGGAAGGAACGATTTTTGGTGTTTTTTTTTTCTTTTTTGCGCTTCTATATAAATATCTACCTAAAACCTATGAAGTACTTTTTTTTTTTTTTGTTATTTTTCTTTTTCTTTTTTTAGCCGCGACGATCAAGTGTCGAACCTTTTTTTTTTTTTCCTTTACAACTTTTTTCATATTTTTCCTAGTCGAGCAAAAGTGGTTTAGTTATTTTTTTATTCCCCCCCTTCCCACTTTAACAGCCACGCCACGTACCGTCGTTTAATCGGTTTCTTTTTTTTCTTTTTATTAATTATTATTTTTCTCTCTTTTTAATATCGCGCAATTATATTAGTACAATTTTTTTTAAACAACAGCAATTATTACATGATATTTTTCTTCTTTTATTATTATTATTTTTTTTGTGTTTTTTTTCTTTTCCCCTTACTTTTTTTTTTTTTTTTTTTTTTTTTTT